CTATCTATCAATCATCTATTTATCTATTTCTTATCTATCTATCTATCAATCATCTATTATCTATCTATCTATCATCTATCTATCTATCATCTATCTATCTATATATATATATATCATCTATCATTTATCTATTTATCTATAATCCATCTATCTACATAGCTCTTCATCACTATGTCACTTTTTTCATTGCTTGAAACATAGCAAGAAGCAAATTGAGGGTAGACGTCGTAGAGCTGGCTCAAATTTAGAGGGTTCCATCTACCAGTACAGGAAAGGCATGGTGGGGTATACTGGGCTCGGCAGTGAGAACACGTGGCAGATGCCATTGATACCATGGTAGACTGGAAGTAGGGGAACGTCAGCCCTCTACTTGTTTCCTCCTTCCCCCTTTTGGTCCCACCCAGTTCCTGGTACGTGGGATTATCTTCCTTCATTCAGGGCAGGTCTGCTCTGCTTAGTTCACCCTATCTGGAGACATCCTCACAGGTACATCCCAAGGTATCCTTCACTAGTACTATAGGCATTTCTTTGTTTTTAATGTCTGTGTGCAGGTGTGTGTGTGTGTATGTGTGTGTGTGCGCGCGTGCATGCGCGTAGTAGCCAAGGAACAATGACAATGTCAGGTCTCATCCTCAGACATATTATTCTCTCTCACTGGCATTGAGCTCTACCAAACAAGTAACTGTCCGTCAAGCCCCAGAAACTTTCCAATTTTTTTGTTTTTTGTTTTTGTTCAAGACAGGGTTTCTCTGTGAAGCCCTGGCTATCTTGGAACTCGCTCTGTAGATCAGGCTAACCTCGTATTCCCAGAGATCCATCTCTCTCTGCCACTGGAATCCTGGGATTAAAGGTGTGTGCCACTACCTCCTGGCTGACATTTCTACTTTTTAACCTCCCCAGTGGTGGTAATAGTGGTTCACCACCACACCCTGGCGTTTTCACATGAGTTCTGGACCTCAGATTTGGGTCCTCATGTTTTCAAGGCAAGCACCTCATGGACTGAACTGTCTTTTTATTCCCAAAACATTTCTTAGCCCAATGGACTTGACAGTGTGGATCACTGTCAGCACTATTACCTGGCCACCACCACCGCCGCCGCCACCGCCGCCTGAGTTAGTTGTGAAGAGTGGAGTGACTCCATGTACTTTTTCCTACACCTTTTGTCAGTACAGGAACTGCCTACATAACTGTCCCAGCAGTCTCTTTTCCGAGGTTCCAAACCCCATGGCTGTTGTCACAGGCCAGTTCTCCTGGCTAGTCTGTGAAGCTAGTCTGTTTCCCAGAGCGTTTGTCAGCTGACATTCTCCACGGGATCCCCTGCGGGTGATGAGGGTATGGGACACTTTACCATGAACTTGGTTTTCTTCCAGGGGCCTGAAACCAGCCTGATGCTGTAATACCAGCGATTTTAGAGCACTTTAGAGAAAGAGAAAAACCCTAAGGCAAACAGCCACGCCCTGCGTCTATCAACACAAAGATTTCTGCCCTCAGTTCACAAGCATCAAGTTTCCCAAATTCCATTTAATTTCCTTGGCTCCTGTATTGAGTTACAACCCGGCCACAAGGGATCTTGGCACCAAAAGCCTGCAAGGAAAAGGCTGTTTGGTTGAACTTTGTTGCTCAGTTCTGCAGACATTGTAGGTTCAGATAAGGTTGTGGGTGGCCCATTAATTCTTTCTACATGTTGCTCTGAAGTGAACCTGAACTCTGCCACATCCTGAGATTCCACGCTCTAATGATTCCCTGCAATAACACACGGCCATCCCCGATACCATGCCAAGCTTTCCCAAGAGCCGTTTCTTCTCACTGCTTTTCTTCCAGCTACACTTCTAGAAGAAGAGTTGTTCAAGCCTCTTGGAAGAGTATAGCCCCAAGGTAACTGCTTGGAGGCATATGTGTGTCCTGTCTGGCTGTTCACATAAGAAGCTGAGAGAGCGCTTTGAATCTCATTCTTAAACAACCGAGCCTTTTACAGCAGGGGTTTCAATGAAAGCTGTGTATAGTTTCTCTCCTGCTTCAGCGTTCCTAGCTTTCACCGTCTGCTTTACACAGCCTTGAGTCCCCCGAGAGGGAGGCCTCTGCAGAGTAACTGCTGAGATCAGACTGGCCCGTAGATGTGTATGTGGGACACTGTCTGGATAGATGACTGATGGAGGAGCGCCCAGTCCCCTGTGGGGAGCATCATTCCCTGACCAAGTGGGCTTGGGCTGTAAAAGAAGCCCAGCTGGAGCCCAAAAGGCAAGCCAGGAAGTAGTCTCCTGTGGTTTCTGCTTCAAGTTCTAGCTTGACTTCCCACTCTTACTACCCTTAAAGATGGAGTGAGACCGGAAGCTCAAGTCAGACAAACCCTTTCTTCCCCTAAGTTGCTTTTGGCCATAATAGCAGTGTTTTAACCTAACAACAGAAAGAAAACTAGAGCAATCCTGTAGCTATACGCTTTGTGCTGTGCTGTTTGCACATGTATGTGTGTGTGTGTGTGTGTGTGTACGCACGCGTAAACAAAGAGCCAGTTTAAAAAGCTCCATGAAGTAGGGTAATATATTTGCTATGTTTAATGCTGTACCCTCTAGGCCTGGCACATACCTGCTACAGGGTAACCACCCAGTTTATATTGTTTGTCTTATTCAATCAAAGCATTGTGCCTGCCTGCTTTCCCTCAGAACATCAAATATGTCAGAGAAAAAGGGTTTATCTTGGCTCACAGTTCTGGAGGTGTCAGGCCATGACTGCTGTTGCTTTCAGGCCTGTGGAATTTCAGGCAGTGAATTATGGCCAGGGCATACAGCAGAGCGAAGTCATTCATCTACCCCATAGTTAATTAGTATTCTCTTATGTGAAAAAAAAATGTCTACAATAAACAACTTTCAGGTTTGTTTTGGCTTTTGGTCTCAGAAGTTTCAGGCTGTGTTCAGTCAGTCCTGATGCTTCTGGGCCTTCCTGAGGCAGAGCATCCTGGTGGGAGTGTATGGCAGAGAGTTGCTTTACTCAGGTGTCAGGCAGTAGAGACAAGGACGCAAACGGAAGGAGCAGAGTTATATCGTGCCTTTTAAAAGCTCTCCCCCACTGACCCAGCTTCCGCCACTAAGTTCCACCTCTGAAAGGTTCCACTGCCCATCACCTCCCAGGCATGCCACAAGCCTTTGGGGACATTCAACGTCTGTTCTCTTCCAATCTCTGAAATCCAGAACAGGCATCTCGGGGCCTGTCTGACTGTACCTATGGATCCTGGACGGGTCTACCCTTGAGTCCAAGAGGTTATTATGTCCAAGCTTTGGAGATTGTTGGGGGTTCTTAATATCCATGTTTCAAGACAAAACACAATTCAGCATGTCGTTTTGGCCATTCTAATCTCAGAATTAGATTCCATTAGTGAATCTAGTCAGGACAATCAGACAGAAAAAAGAAAACCATCTCTACTCACAAGAGGACATGATCTTTTACACAAAAAAAGGTATCAAGCAAAATCAGGTGTCATGGTCTAGCCCTAAGATCTCAGCCCTTGGAAAACTGTGCCTGGAGGACTATTGTGAGTTTTAGGCCAGCCTGGGCTACATAGCACATACCAGGCTAACATATCAAGACCCTGTCTCAAAAGCCAAACAACAAAAATCCCCACAAAACCAACAAGCATGCACATAACTATAACACTAGTACTAGGTAGATAGAAGTAGGAAGGTCAGAAGTTCAAGGCTAACCTGGGCTACCTGGGGCACCATTTGAGCAACAAAATGAAAACAATAACAAAGCCTAGAAAACGTCCACCAACTACCCAGTCAAAGTAGTGAAACAGGATCTACCAACTAACCAGTCAAAGTAGTGAAACAGGATCTACCAACTAACCAGTCAAAGTGGTGAAACAGGATCTACCAGCTAACCAGTCAAAGTGGTGAAACAGGATCTACCAGCTAACCAGTCAAAGTGGTGAAACAGGATCTACCAACTAACCAGTCAAAGTAGTGAAACAGGGTCTACCAAATGAGTTCCACAAGGTTTGGGAGTTCAAGATCCATACAGAAAAAAATCCATCGTATCATTTTTGGTTTTAATTTTATTTGACAGTAAGTGAACAGAATCAACATAAGCAACTCCAGATTAGCTCTTCTTACACTAGTGAGAAGCAGCTGACTTAGCAGAATTTGACTTGTCAACTGTCTACCAGGCTGCAGCAGTGCTCCGTGACCAAGGTAGGCCCCAGGAAAGCTGTCTTCCCTATTGCTTTCCCCAGTTCTTTTGAATGGAGTCACATGCCACAAATACTTCTTCAGATGTGCTGTCTGGGATCATCCAGGAAGCGAAGTCTCTGGGTGTGCTGGCAGGAGACAGGATTTAAAACACATCTCATTAGATGGGGCCACTGTGCACCAGCTCCTGATAAGAATGAAGGCGGAAGCGGGCATCACAACTCTTCCTAACGACGAATATTTAGCCTTTTTCTTGTACACCTGGTCTTTTTACTTGGATTTTTTTTCTTTTCTTTTTCTTTCTTTTTTTTTTTTTTTTTGCCTTTTCTTTTAAAAACAGAATAATAACCCCATCACAGTGGCAAATAGCCACCAGATGGAGCTTAAATTTGACCAAAACAAACTGGAGTCTTAAGGGCAAGCAACAAGCAAGAGTTACTGCCCCCAAACAGCCAGAGTCTCCCCTATGTAGGGAGGGAGCGAGAAGAGAGAGACATGCTACTCATTGTTCAGACCCATGACACTGCAGGGGGGTGGCCAGGACTGGCAAGCGACTGCCCTATTTCCCAGACAGCTGTTTGTACAGCTTGGGTACATAATCGTCCCATTCCGCCTGGTAACACGTGCCGGCTACCGGGGCTCCCAGGTGATACTTCTTGCGGAATGCCGCCACCTTGAATTTGCCGCGGTGGTCTCCTGACCGGTTGCTGAGAATGGGCTCGTCACACTTCAGCGGCTTGTCCTGCTCGTACACCAGCCAGACGTAGCGATGGAGGCCGGTGCCACTGGGAGGCCCGGAACCCACATAATCCGAGAGGACCTTGCCGCTGCTGATGTCGTTGCCCTTCATGTTGACCACCAGGAAATGGTGCCACTCCCTGTACTTGGGGTCTTTCCTGCTGGGAGCATCCGGGTCTGTGAGGACTAAGGTGTAGAGTTTCGCTGGGTCAAGGCCATCCCACGAAATGCTACTGGGTCTGTTCTTAACCTGGGTAGGCGTCAGCACTTGGCCCAGCTCATCCAGCTCCACCCCAGCGTAGGTGACCTGCAGTGGGTGCTGCGGCCGCTCTTCCACCTCCTGCAGGCTCAGCGGCCCGGCCCACTTGCTGATGTCTGCCGGCATGGCGAGGCGCTGTGGTGGCAGTTGGTTGCAAACAGCAGGATCCCGCGTGCGTGGCTGAGAACCGACTGGTGACCACGTGAGCCCTGTAGCCGCGGGAGCACACCCCTTTACATACTTATATACACCTCAATGAATGATCCAAAAAAGAATATTAAGAAATCAATTCAACTTTTTAAAGTGCTAAAATTAAAAAAGTCGAGAATAAATTTGACAAAACTTATGAAAAACATAGTGTGAAAAGTGCAAGATATTGTTGAAAGATACTGAACAGGCTCTAAATAAATGGAAATCGCTTTATGCGTGTGGATCCGAGTTAGCACTTGCCAAAAAATAAGCATCCTTCAGGATGGTGTGAACTCAGTGAAAATCCTACGCAAATCTCAGCTTCTTTGTAGAAACTGCTGAGTTTGCACGGGGCCAGAATAGTTCAAAAACTATCTTGAGAAAGAAAAAGTTGGAAGACACACATGTTTTTTGATGTAAAGTCAGCACAAAACAATAATTGAGGCAGTGGGACACTAGCATCATGGGAAACCCAGGGGTCTGTGCACTGGTGTTGAATCCAGATGTACACCCATGTGAAGAGATTTTTCATCAGACACCAAAGCACTCAACAGGGGAGAGCATAATCTTCAGTAAGTAGTTCTGAATCACTGGACACCTATATGCAACCGGATAACATCAGGCCCCAACCTGGATACCAGGTCCAAGTTACTGCAAAACAGAGCAAGGACTTAATTAAGTATAAAAATTCATAAAACTATTGGAAGAAAACATACGGATGCATTTTTATGTCTTTGGATTTGATAATGGGTTCATTCCAATTCTCCCACCAAGATGTGGGCTGGTCATGGCTCAGTGGATAAAGGCACCCACTGAGAAGCCTCAGGACCCAGGTTTGAGCTCCAGGACCCATTTGGTGGAATTTATTCTCTGCCTTCCACAGGTGTGCCATGGCAGACAAGACTGCACACAACACACACATACAAACACACACCACAAAAGTAATGTAACAAGTCAAAACCAAACAAATAAAATACACTAAGACATGAGCCCCAAAAGGAAAAGAAAAATTGAACTTTATTAAAATTAAAGTATATTCTGTTTCCAAAAGCGTAATTAACAATGAGAAAACTGAGCTGGGCCAGGAAGATGGCTGGCTCGTAGGTAAAGGTGCCTGCCAACACGACTGAGTTTGATTTCTGGACCCCCACATGGTTGAAGAAGAGAATTAACTTGTAGAGGTTGTCCTCTGACCTCTGCACACATGTAGTAGCTCATTCTCTTAACATCTACACTAAATAAAAAATTTTAAAAATGTAATTTAACAAAACAAGAAAAGGCAACATATAAGTGAATTTTTTAATTAATTAATTTGTTTTTACATACCAATCCCAGTTCCCCTTCCATCCTCTCCTCCTGCTCCCTGCTTCCCACTCCCCACTTCCTACCCATTCCTCAGAGAGTTAAGGCCTACCCTGGGAAGTCAGCTAGGTCTGTCCTGTGTCCTCCACCCCCTTGAGGCAGGACCAAGGTGTCATTCTCCTCGCCCCCACCCCTTGCCTAGACTGAGCAAGCTATCTCTCCATAGAGAATGGGCTCTACAAAGTTCATGCATTAGAGTTAGATCCTGGTCCCACTGTCCGTGACCCCATATACTGCACAAGCCACACCTTGTCACCTGTATTCAGGGGGCCTAGCTCAGTTCTACACAGATTCCCCAGTTGTCAGAGGATGAGACCCTTTAATACAGTTTGGTGACCCCCAAAATAAAATGATTTTGTTGCTACTTCATGACTGTAATTTCGCTACTGTTATGAATCACAATGTAAATACCTGGTATGAAGGTTATCTGATATGAGACTCCCCAAAGGGGTCGAGATCCACAGGTTGAGATCAACTGCTGTGGTTTCTACAGTAGAGTTCCTTTCTCGGGACTCCTGAGGGGAGGAGATCCAAGAGGACAAACAAATTTGAAACATGGTGCTGGATTAAAGAAACTATGTTTCTGAAATCCGCAAGCAGCTAGGCAATTTAGAAGATGCCTGGCTTCCTCTGCCCTGTTCTATCTCAGCCTCTCTGTCCAGTCTACCCCCAAGTACCCTCAGTCCCAACCACAAGCCGTGTCCTCTGGGCACTGCTCCTTGTCCAGGCTGACCACAGCCTCCATTCCTGATTTTCCAGGTCCTCGCACTGTGCCTGAGATTTTCATACGCTTGATGAATTGGTTGAATCATTCCAGCTCTCCCGACTGCATAGGGTACTTCTCCTCTGTGTTGCATTTTTCTTGTCTTTCTTTTTCTTTTTGTATTGTTTTCATTGAGCTATGTATTTTTCTCCTCTTCTCTCCCTTCTTCCCCCCCTTTCTACCCTCTTCCATGATCCCCACACTCCTAATTTACTCAGGAGATCTTATCTTTTTCTACTTCCCATGAAGATTAGATATAAAGTAAATTTTTAAACATTTTTGCTGATCACATATTTGATAAAAGTCTTGAATCTATAAAAAATACTACCAAACTGGGTGGTGGTGGCACACGCCTTTAACCCTAGCACTCAGGAGGCAGAGGCAGGCAGATCTCTGTGAGTCTGAGGTCAGCCTGGTCTACAGAATGAGTTCCAGGACAGCCAGGACAACACAGAGAAACCTTGTCTTGAAATACTCCCCGAAAGAATATTTACAATTTAATAATAAATTCCAATTAATTAAAACAAAGGATTAAGGCTTGGAGCAGACATTTCTCTTATGAAGATACACAAATAACCAAGAACACAAGAAAATATGGTAGACATTGTACGTCATTAGAAAAATGCAAACCAGTATCTTAATGTCAATCATACCCACCTAGATTCACTAGAATGAAAAATGTCAAACACTAAGTGTCAGAAGGTCCCCGGAAAAATCAACATCCTCATAGACTCCTGGCAGAGAGGAGAAGTGATACTGTTTGCTTCTCCGGTGACTGCCCATAAAATTACTTTACTGCCCAGCTTCAGCTTCTGGATATACACACAAGAGAAGTGGAGATATATATCCACATAAAAAGTTGTGTGTCGGTGTTTATAGTAACAGAATTCAAAATAGCCCAAAGTTGGAAGCAACCCAATGTCCATGAATGGATGAACGGATAAGCAAAATGTACTTATATACAATGGGGACAGAATTCTCCTCAGCCATAAAAGGAAATGAAGATATGATGCATGCTGTAACATGGACGGACTTTGGAAACTGGATGGTAATGCCTGTTAGTTAGAAAATACTACACTCTGGGCCAATGAGTTGAGGCAGCATGTAAAGGTGCTTTTCAAACAATCCTGTTGACCTGAATTCCATCCCCAGAACCCACAGAGAGTGGAAGAAGAGAGAAGACTGACAAAGCTGTCCTCTGACCCTAATCACACTATGTCATGTGATCCCCCACCTCCCTGAGTCACACACACACACACACACACACACACACACACATAAATACATTTAAAATAAAAAACCCAGTCTATGTGAGTCTACTGCAAAATGTCTCTAAAAGACATATCTACAGAGATGAATCTAGAAGCTGTTCAGGGGTTGCTTTGTGTGGGGAAATGAGGAGCTGACATCTCAAGGGCACAGGGTTCTTTTTGCCATGAAACATTCTCAGTTTGAGGGTGTTGGTGGCTTACATGTATCTGTGACTATCCTAAAAAGCCACTAAACTGTACCTTTAAAGGGATTGAATTATATGACATGTGAATTATATTTCCATAAAGCCATTATGTAAAACCAACAAAAGCCATAAAAGCATTGTCAGTGAAGGCTCCCTGGGGGGAAAGTTCTTCCCTCTAGGTGGCCCTGCCTGTTGTCAGGTGGTCATAGCTCCTCACTACGTGAGCTTCTCCACTGGGACATGCATTGTACTTACAGACAACAGCTGTCAGCCCCAAAGGGAGTCACCCAAGATGGAATGAGGTGAGAACAGCAACACCCAAGACAGTCTAATCCTGGAGACTTCAGAGGTCTATCGATGACTTAGGTCAGCCCTGCTCAGTGCCCAATGGCTGACCTAGGGTGAGAATAGCAAGGGTGGCGACCTTTGGAACCGGTTGGAGCCTGGCTGGCACTGCCTTGCAGGAAGCTTTCATTGTGAACTGGGGCAGTAAGCATAAGGTGCTTGGTAGATGTTAACCCAGGAGGTAAATACTAAATATCCATTTTATTATTGACCTAGATCATCCAAAGCTAGATGTGGCTTATTTGTATTTACCGCTTTATTCTCTCAGAGCTCTCACAGAGTCCTAGAATTATGAATCTATCAGTCAAATTCCCAAAGTCTGAAGGGACCTACCTATGGTGCCACCCCGCACGCCATGATAGATTTCTCCACCCATGCAGTAAGCCAGATCAAACCGAATTGGAAAAGTAAAAGAACAGGTTTATTTGAACAAAACAACTCCTGGGTGGTTAGGCCTAGAGATCAAGGCCGGAAGCTGCACCCACGAACGGAAGCAGGGAGACTTTATAGGTATGAGGTGTGGGGTGACGACGTGTCTGTCACAAGCTGACTTTGTGGCCAAGTATAATCAAGAGCTGAGCACTTTAGGCGGGGACTTGAGCGACTGGCAACTTCAGGGGAGGAAGCTGCCGTAGCCACCAAGATTTGGGAACTGGGTTTTTGGGTGCCTCTTCTTTCTTGGGAGACTCTCCGAGTGGGCCGGGTTTGGGGACACACACACACACACACACACACACACACACACACACACACACACACACACAGAGGAATGGGGCTTTCCGGATCATGCAGGGCAGAGTTGGAGATTCCAACTGAACACCTATTAGCATACTGAAGTATATGCTGGCTTCCAGGATCTCTCTGCATCACAAGTCCCTGTCGCACACTTCAAAGTCCACGCTAGCTGTCATCTTAGCTCGTCCCACCTCCTCCCCTGCGCAGGCTTCCCCACCTTCAGCTACTCATCCCCTTCCCACCCTGCGATCTCCCTCTCCCCCACCTCTCTGCTCTCTGTCTTCCTCCTACCCCCTCC